TTACTGTGATGTGTGACACCGTTCACTAACAGTTACTGTGATGTGTGTCACCGTTCACTAACAGTTACTGTGATGTGTGACACCGTTCACTAACAGTTACTGTGATGTGTGTCACCGTTCTCTAACAGTTACTGTGATGTGTGACACCGTTCACTAACAGTTACTGTGATGTGTGTCACCGTTCTCTAAGAGTTACTGTGATGTGTGTCACCGTTCACTAACAGTCACTGTGATGGGTGTCACCGTTCACTAACAGTTACTGTGATGTGTGACACCGTTCACTAACAGTTACTGTGATGTGTGTCACCGTTCTCTAACAGTTACTGTGATGTCTGTCACCGTTCACTAACAGTTACTGTGATGGGTGTCACCGTTCTCTAACAGTTACTGTGATGTGTGTCACCGTTCTCTATACAGTTACTGTGATGTGTGTCACCGTTCTCTAACAGTCACTGTGATGGGTGCCACCGTTCACTAACAGTTACTGTGATGTCTGTCACCGTTCACTAACAGTTACTGTGATGGGTGTCACCGTTCTCTAACAGTTACTGTGATGTGTGTCACCGTTCTCTATACAGTTACTGTGATGTGTGTCACCGTTCTCTAACAGTCACTGTGATGTCTGTCACCGTTCACTAACAGTTACTGTGATGGGTGTCACCGTTCTCTAAGCGCCGGACTCTCCTAATGGGTGATACTTATTTAACAAATGTCAACTCTTTGCGGTATTCATTATCCGAATTGTCGTCGCTATTTTCGATGTAGTGATCATGTTTAATTGACTGTTTTATCTAGTCAGTAGATAAATGTATTCAAGTCGGTCGTGTTCGAATAATCAGACGAAGGATTGTTGTCAGTCAAGGTCAACAGATCACGCCAGATGAGGGCGTGGTATATCCTGTCTTAACCATGTACGGCGGGACTTGGGTGTGTACTCACCTGGTTGTGCTTGCGGGGGTTGAGCTCTGGCTCTTTGGTCCCGCCTCTCAACCGTCAATCAACAGGTAGCCATGTTGATTGGTGTGTGTGTGTGTTTACTAGTTGTGTGTTTACTAGTTGTGTTTTTGCGGGGGTTGAGCTTTGCTCTTTCGGCCCGCCTCTCAACTGTCAATCAACTGTTTACTAACTACTTTTTTTTTCCACACCACACACACACACCCCAGGAAGCAGCCCGTGACAGCTGACTAACTCCCAGGTACCTATTTACTGCTAGGTAACAGGGGCACTTAGGGTGAAAGAAACTTTGCCCATTTGTTTCTGCCTCGTGCGGGAATCGAACCCGCGCCACAGAATTACGAGTCCTGCGCGCTATCCACCAGGCTACGAGGCCCCCTGTGTGTGTGTGTGTGTGTGTGTGTGTGTGTGTGTGTGTGTGTGTGTGTGTGTGTGTGTGTGTGTGTGTGTACTCACCTATTTGTACTCACCTAATTGTGCTTGCGGGGGTTGAGCTCTGGCTCCTTGGTCCCGCCTCTCAACTGTCAATCAACAGGTGGACAGGTTCCTGAGCCTATTGGGCTCTATCATATCTACACTTGAAACTGTGTATGGAGTCAGCCTCCACCACATCACTTCCTAATGCATTCCATTTGTCAACCACTCTGACACTAAAAAAGTTCTTTCTAATATCTCTGTGGCTCATTTGGGCACCTGTGTCCCCTAGTGCATGTGCCCCCTGTGTTAAATAGCTTGTCTTTATCTACCCTGTCAATTCCTCTGAGAATCTTGTACGTGGTGATCATATCCCCCTAACTCTTCTGTCTTCTAGCGACGTGACGTTTAATTCCCGTAGTCTCTCCTCGTGGCTCATACCTCTCAGCTCGGGTACTAGTCTGTTGTCAGTCAAGGCCAGCAGATCACGTCACGTCACGTGTGTGTGTGTGTGTGTGTGTGTGTGTGTGTGTGTGTGTGTGTGTGTGTGTGTGTGTGTGTGTGTGTGTGTGTGTGTGTGTGTGGTCGGACTAGAACAGGTTGAGACCGATGATGCCTGAACCGCACGGACAAGCACATGTAATATTGCACTAACAACCAATAACTCCCAAAACACATTTCACAAATGCCGTGAGAAATTGTGAGTAGAATTACACCAGATGCGAAGGCGAAGAATTGAGCCCAAACACTACTAAGTATAACCACGCGCACACACACACACACACACACATACACATGTGTGTGTGTGTGTGTGTGTGTGGTCCCAATATACAAAATGTGGTCCCAATATACAAAAAGGGCGACAGACAAGAGGCACTGAACTACAGGCCAGTGTCCTTGACTTGTATACCATGCAAGGTGATGGAGAAGATCGTGAGAAAAAACCTGGTAACACATCTGGAGAGAAGGGACTTCGTGACAAATCGCCAACATGGATTCAGGGAGGGTAAATCTTGCCTTACAGGCTTGATAGAATTCTACGATCAGGTGACACAGATTAAGCAAGAAAGAGAGGGCTGGGCGGACTGCATTTTCTTGGATTGTCGGAAAGCCTTTGACACAGTACCGCATAAGAGGCTGGTACATAAGCTGGAGAGACAGGCAGGTGTAGCTGGTAAGGAGCTCCAGTGGATAAGGGAGTATCTAAGCAATAGGAAGCAGAGAGTTACGGTGAGGGGTGAGACCTCCGATTGGCGTGAAGTCACCAGTGGAGTCCCACAGGGCTCTGTACTCGGTCCTATCTTGTTTCTGATATATGTAAATGATCTCCCGGAGGGTATCGATTCATTTCTCTCAATGTTTGCGGACGATGCTAAAATTATGAGAAGGATTAAAACAGAAGAGGACTGTTTGAGGCTTCAAGAAGACCTAGACAAGCTGAAGGAATGGTCGAACAAATGGTTGTTAGAGTTTAACCCAACCAAATGTAATGTAATGAAGATAGGTGTAGGGAGCAGGAGGCCAGATACAAGGTATCATCTGGGAGAGGAAATTCTTCAGGAGTCAGAGAAGGAAAAAGACTTGGGGGTTGATATCACGCCAGACCTGTCTCCTGCAGCACATATCAAGCGGATAACATCAGCGGCATATGCCAGGCTGGCCAACATACGAACGGCATTCAGAAACCTGTGTAAAGAATCATTCAGAACTTTGTATACCACATATGTCAGGCCAATCCTGGAGTATGCAGCCCCAGCATGGAGTCCATATCTAGTCAAGGATAAGACTAAACTGGAAAAGGTTCAAAGGTTTGCCACCAGACTAGTACCCGAGCTGAGAGGTATGAGCTACGAGGAGAGACTACGGGAATTAAACCTCACTTCGCTGGAAGACATAAGAGTTAGGGAGGACATGATCACCACATTCAAGATTCTGAAGGGGATTGATAGGGTAGATAAAGACAGTCTATTTAACACAAGGGGAACACGCACAAGGGGACACAGGTGGAAACTGAGTGCCCAAATGAGCCACAGAGATATTAGAAGGAACTTTTTTAGTGTCAGAGTGGTTGACAAATGGAATGCATTAGGCAGTGATGTGGTGGAGGCTGACTCCATACACAGTTTCAAGTGTAGATATGACAGAGCCCGATAGGCTCAGGAATCTGTACACCTGTTGATTGACGGTTGAGAGGCGGGACCAAAGAGCCAGAGCTCAACCCCCGCAAACACAACTAGGTGAGAACAACTAGGTGAGTACACACACCAGTTGATTGACAGCCGAGAGACGGGACCAAAGAACCAAAGCTCAACCCCCGCAAGCACAACTAGGTGAGTAAACTCACTGGGAAAGCGGGACACCACGAGCGAAGCTCTTACACTGTAACTACACTTAGGTAATTACACACACACACACAAACACACACTGAAATACATGTAGTAGATATGATAGAGCAAAAATAACCCGCGAGTCAGTGCATTAGACAAACGACGGTGAGAAAGGCGGGGTCCAAGAGCTAGCAGCTCGATCCTGCAGGCACAAACAGTTAACACAAATAGTAAACACACACATTCGAAGCAACAGACATGGTGTCCAAAAATAACTCACAGTGGCGTGATATATCAATGAGAAAATATTTTGGGGTAATTCAGGGATTCGAACCAGCGTTCGAGTGGTCTAAGTCAGGCGTCTAGTATTCCCCAGAACGCTAATTGAAATCCCAGCATTTCTCCAACTGATTGTCTCAAACACGGTGCAATAAAATATATATTAGGACAAATATAAAACACAAATGATTCTGATAGATTTAATTTCACAAGGATATTATTCTTTAATGGCATGATTTATGGGGTTTTCCTGTTTTTTTTGTTGATAGCATTTTGAGAACTGTTGAGATGCTCGAGTCTTCACTAGGGGTGTGGGAGGCCTTCTCTGGATGCTGCTGGCGGCATCTTAGCCATAAAGATCATCTCTGTAATCTCCAATACCGCGCCCGATGCCTCCGTAATCGGATCCAGTGCCTCCGTATCCGGACCCGATCCCTCCGTAACCAAAACCAGGAGCTCCGTAACCAGATCCGATGCCTCCGTAATTGGAACCGCTGCCTCCGTAATCCGCACGGGTGTCTCCGTATCCGGATCCAAGACCTCCGTAACTAGAGCCAGTGCCGTCATAATCGGCACGAGTGTCTCCGTATCCGGATCCGATGCCTCCGTAATTTGAACCGCTGCCTCCGTAACCGGACCCGAGACCTCCATAATCAGATCCGGTGTTTCCATAACCGGAGCCAATGCCTCCGAGACCGGACCCGAGGGCTCCGAGACCGGACCCGAGGCCTTCAAGACCGGAACCAAAGCCTCCGAATCCAGGGCCAATGCCTCCGTAACCGGATCCTATGTCTCCGAGGCCTCCAAGGCCTCCAAGACCCCGTCCGAGGCCCCCAAGGCCTCCAAGACCCCGTCCGAGGCCTCCGTATCCGAGGCCAGACTGCGGGAGGGGACGTGGGGCCGCCTCAGGCCGGCCAGCCACCACACACGCCAACAGGACAATGATCTGAAGGTGTAATAAACAAACAATTATTTTCCTCCCGCGGCAGAAGGCGACCTATCATCCCAGGACCAAGGGACGGGAATTATCAGGGGAAAGGGCCAAGGGCGACTATATAGCACTGGGAAGGGGTCAGGATAAAAATTTGGGATGGGACGGAGGGAAGGACTGGTGTCCAACCACTTGTGGACGGTCGGGGGATTGAACGCCGACCTGCATGGAGTGAGACAGTTGCTCTACCGTTCAGCCCAAGTGGTTGGGCATCCCAGGACTAAATTATATATACTAAAACACACAATATTTAAGCTTACACTCTATATTTCCTCGAGGTGTGATCCCAGACGATCACTTCATCACTGACCTTCACGAGGTCTGACTGGGAAGACCTCTATAAAATACAATCATTCAATCCGTTCTCGCAAATTTAATAAGTCAATATTGACTTATTAAATATGTGCATAGGTGACATACTTAACATAATAGATGCCCTTAAAAAGATTCATAGAAAACACCGACCTTACCTAACCTTGTTAGTATCTATCTTAAGATAAGCATCTTATAGCTTCGTAATTGCAATTATTACCTAACCTATAATAGGTATAGAATAAGTAATAATTGTAATTACGAAGCAATAAGATGCTTATCTTAAGATACTAACAAGGTTAGGTAAGGTCGGTGTTTTCTATGAATCTTTTTAAGGGTATCTATTATGTTTAGTATGTCACCTATGCACATATTTAATAAGTCAATATTGACTTTACGAATTTGCGAGAACGGATTGAATGATTGTATTTTATAGAGGTCTTCCCAGTCAGACCTCGTGAAGGTCAGTGATGAAGTGACGCGCACGCGAGCATCGCGATGCGCACACCCCCATGCGCAGTAAGATGCAATTCGCTAGGATCATCGGAGATCCTGGAGTGGTTGGTGGGACAACAGTCTATAGTACTTCTGAGGCCCGGGTTCGAGACCCCGTGATCATTCAGGTGGGCAAGTAGTGAATTAGTATATTCCATGATTGCTATTTTTTGCGCGTCTGAACACAAAGTTATGGATCACTGCACATCGAGTCTATACGTTTCGTTCTCTCGTTGTTTTATTTTCCAGATTTATTCGTATGAAATTGATTTTCCTCGAATGAAGTTTTATGGATATTATTTCATCCTTGTCTCGTAAATAACTTTGTCAGTAATCAATTTTATCGTGTAACAATCCTCTACATTCATATATATATAATCTTAACACATATATACATCTTCCTTAAAATTTATCTCACGTTAAGCCATCTACATAATAATTATAACGGACTAATTATTTACATTATTTAAAATTAAATGATTTAAAACTGACTCATTATATTTAGAGCGAATTTCCCCCCGGGATCCATCTGACTGTGACAGTCTTGGCAAAAGTTCCCAGGAACTGACAATGTTCTCCGAGGTGATAAACCGTCCTCGTGCGGCCGTCTGTGCTCCACACGTCACAGCAAGTCCTGTTCTCCGGATCAATATTATTTAAAACACTTCTATTCATACAATAAATGTAAACCTCGCTTTCTCACTAATTTGATTACGATGTAGAGTTAATTTTTCCAATCAAATTTTAAGTTTTTGTTGCTGTTGATACATATGTGTTTCTAACAGTTGATTAGATAGATTATGGAGTGCAGCCCGTCCTCTTACGGTTTCCCAAAGTCAAGAAACTGTTGTACTAAAAGCCCCCCTGATCATAACCTACCAGAGGACCCAAAACAGAAAACGGGACAGTATGTCTATTTCGCGAGCCGCTACAGTTGGTGTGTTAGATTCAGCTACTGGGAACCAAAAGTTGCAAGTAGCACGGACTATGGTGAGCCCGTAGTGGACTTACCTGGCACAGGAGCGGGGCTGTAACTCTCTCTGGAGCCGCTACCATTTTCTAGTACGACGATTTTTTGGGGCTTAGGTAGACTAATACGTCAGAATGCGACGCTGCAGTAGGTGGACGGGTTGTAGAGTAATGAGGAGATGAGTGTTCCAGTCCTCACGTGTTCCAGTCACGTAACTGCTGCTTCACTAAACCACACACTACAAATTGAAGAGGCGACGACGTTTCGGTCCGTCCAGGACCATTACCAAGTCGAAACGTCGTCGTCTCTTCCAATTTCCAGTGTGCGGTTTGGTCAACATTTTTCAGCCACGTTATTGTGACTCTTCATTTGCCACTGCTGTTTCATTCCGCGTGTGTGAACCCCACGGACGAGAGCCCCAAGAGTGAGCGCTTACCAGGACCTCCATGACGTGTGTGAACCCCACGGACGAGAGCCCCAAGAGTGAGCGCTTACCAGGACCTCCATGATGTGTGTGTGTGTACGTCTCGCCACTTTGGTGAAGAAGGAAGGTGTGGCTGCAGGAGGAAGCTGTCTATCCTCTTATATACTGTGCCATCACACACCTGTCATGACGCTGTACACGATCATCCGGGACAGTCATGGAGTTTAACGCTCTACTTCCACCCAACACCATCTACAGGTCTGGGGGGGGGATGGGGGGAGGAGGGGGATCGGGGATGGGGGGGGGGAGGAGGGGGATCGGGGAGGGGGGGGGGGGGGGGGGGGAGGGGGGGGGGAGGGGGGGGGGGGGGGGGGGGGATGGCAGTTGATACGTGTCATTATCAACATTTTTGAATGTTGGGAATGTTTAAGCTGAGGTTATCATCATGCGCTCCAAGCATTTGGCATGATACAACACACAGGATATAATGAACAAATCCACAACCCTGGAAACACAAACCGTAACTGTCTCTATTTTCTGCTTGTTACAACTTGTAATAAAGTTGTTACATCTTGGCTTGACGTGTTTATGACGTATTAGAACGTTGTTACAACTTGCTATATTGGTTGTTATAACTGGTTAGGTGTTAAAACTTGTTCGAACGTTGTACCAACGTCGTAGTTTCGGTGTGTGTTTGGTGGGAAGGGCCATGATGAGGCTATTCATCCACGTGTGCGGTGGATGAATAGCTCAGAGGTAGCTATTTGGTTGACAGAGCCCAGGTGCAGGAGGGGGGGGGGATTATGTGAAACCCGGGAAAAGCACCAGTGGAAGCCTCGGCATCCTCGTGCGGGGGGCAGCAGCACTCCAGGTTGCAGTTCTTATACCATGTGGTGGTACAGTTGACCAGAGCGCGTCTGGGAACACCCAGCGCACGGGTTCGAACCCAAACCAAGGCCCTTGTGGATTTGGTCATGTGATATATCACGTTAATGTGATTTCTGTGTGTACAGGATGTAATCTTATCAGTCAAACATAGACTGAGAGGGTGGAATACCCAGTAGCTAAGCTCATACACACACACACACACACACACACACACACACACACACACACACACACACGCACACATACACACAGTAGTAGGCAACCATCAGTCTCAGGAGACTACGGAATTGCGCTCTGGTTGTCGGTCTGGAGTGGCCTCTCCAGGGCGCAAAGCCTGGGTAGGTTGATACGGAGAAGCTGTTACCCATGCAGCAGGGTAACACACACACACACAGTTCCTGGCCCCGGGTTGTCACGGACGAGAGGAGGGACAGGACACCACACCTCAACTTCGTCCTTGTGTCCACAGCTGTGCCTAACGTGGCCACTGAATCACACGTCGATGGGAACCACATCAGTGTTTAGTGTCTCTAGCACCTGTAATTCACCCAAGTGACTCCGGCTTATTTCACCATGAAGCCAACTCCTATAATTAAGCCATCTTTCCACAAGGTCATGGCGCGCGTCGAGCCTCATCTACGGACTACCAACACTGTTCCTGGAGAACACGCGTTCACCTTCTTCCTCACACACACCACACACACACACACACACACACACACACACACACACACACACACACACACACACACACACGCACACACAACACGCACACACAACACGCACACACACACTAAGGAGAGCTGTCAAGGAACATAGCGGACCGTTGGCACGTAGCATGAAAGCGGACAGACAATTAAGCCTCAGAGACGTCCCAAAGAACTTAATTTACATAAAGCTATTTATTTATAAGTTCCTATTTACTGACAAGGGAACATATGCACTCGATGAAAGGAAAGCGAACCAAAACGTTTCGGTTCTGCCGCGTACCAAAACCTTGCCACTACACTGCAAGACCCTCTCATACATAAAGAAGTAGAAGGGGATACCCGGCGGTGCTCGGGTGCCCTCCCCACTCCCCTCCCCCACCTCTCCCCCCGTCACTCGTCCTCGACCCCCCCTCCCACCCGCTTAGCCTCCCCTTCCCTTTCATAAAACATAATTAGCAATGGTAATGTTGTCTTCTCACAAACAAAATAACATGGGGATAGACACCCCATATTTGAGTATTTGTGACATTTATATAAGGAATTTACACCAAATCTTTCGCATTAATTTTTTTTGTATTAACATATTAGGTACATCTGCATTAGTGCAGCTACCCTAGACTATATGAAGTGGAGTACAGTGTGTCACAAAAAGCTAACTAGGTGATGCTAAAAAATCCCCATCACACAGGATGGTTAGTCATACAGAGGCATGTGATAGGCAGTCTACACTGGCAGACTCCGGATGCATTTTGAGGATATCATCAACACAAGATTGAAAAAGGTAGCAGTGGTAATAAAAGTCCCCATCTCGCAGGATGGTTAGTCATACAGAGCCATATGTTTAATAGCCTGCACTGGCAAATTTTGGGTACACTGTGAGGATATCTTCAAGAGTACGAGAGTGAATAAAATAATTGCAAAGCTCCAGGTACCTCATGCCAACTGGTCTGAAAGGTCTAATAACTGGGCATTCAGTGACGTAGTGCGGGAGATCATGCCGCAGTTCCTGCTCACAGAGTTTGCACCTGGAGTGCTCAGGATTGGGAGATCCGTCACCTGTAGCCACCTGCCACAGGTAACGGTAACCCAACCTGATCCTTGCAACGACACTGTCGCACAGTCTAGTGGACGTTTTGTGCTGCCTATAGATATAGGTTTCAGATCTGAACAAATCATAGCTTTTTATACTAGTACTTTCAGGTCGTTGGGAGTCAGTAATTTCTTTCCTATCAGACCTGAGTGTTTGGACCAATACAGTTTTGACAGCAGAAATGGAGATACCTATATCTAATTCAACTTCATCCTTGTTACACGCTAATTTGGCTGCAATGTCTGTCTCATTATGATGGGTTATATTTATGTGTGAAGGTATCCATACAAAGGAGATTCGAGACCCTTTACTCTGTGCAGCAATTAGGTCATCTATAATTGGGAGTATGAGGTTCTTGCTGTCGATCTTCCAAGAGAAGTTTTCGTGGGGGGTCCGTGGGGGTCCGTTGGAATCCGTGGGGTCCGTGGGGGTCCGTTGGGATCCATGGGATCCGTGGGGGTCCATGGGGTCCATGGGGGTCCATGGGGATTTGTGGGGTCCGTGAGAGTTCGTGGGGTCCATGGGGATGTGTGGGGGTCCGTTGGGATCCGTGGAGGTCCGTTGGGGTCCGTGGAGGTCTGTTGGGGTCCGTGGGGTCCCTCGGGGTCAGTGGGGTCCCTGGGGTCCGTGGGGTCCACGGTTCGAGTCTCCTACAGCCCAAGTGAATGGAAGATTAAGAAAGCTTAATTTACTATTTCCTGATAGGTATAAAGAGTGAGGGGGAACTATGAGTGAAATATGAGAATGGATTATTGAATATTATATATATATATATATATATATATATATATATATATATATATATATATATATATATATATATATATATATATATATATATATAGGACAGTGTCAGACCACGGAGGAAAATTTAAACAGGAATTTCCTTAAGTACTTTCGTATATTAATAATAAAATGGTTTGTGGTTTTATATGGTTCCAATGATCCTACTCAAATCGCCCTTTAATTGATCTATTAAAAATGGATCTAAGTTATATAAACCACAAACCATTTTGTGGTTTATATAACTTAGATCCATTTTTAATAAATCAATTAAAGGGCGATTTGAGTAGGATCATTGGAACACATTTGTCTCACTAATTCATTGTAATATTTACTATTTTATGCTATAATTATCCATGTGTGGTTGCTGCATCAGATGGGCCAATAGGCCCTCTGCAGTGTCCACGTATTATACCTCACCTCACTCCACCATTCTCTCCTGCCTATTTATGTCCAGTACTCGACCTGTAAAACCACTCCTTCTGAAGATGTATTAATATACGAAAGTACTTAAGGAAATTCCTGTTTAAATTTTCCTCCGTGGTCTGACACTGTCATATTTTAATCACGTGTTTACTTTTCGTGATTTACACACACACACACACTATATATATATATATATATATATATATATTTATATATATATATATATATATATATATATATATATATATATATATATATATATATATGAGGGAATATTTATATGATGAAAAATATGTTTAGCCGAAATAGAACACGAAACAATTTGTGCAAATTGGAAAAAGTTGATTCTCAAACCATTGGGTAAAAATTGGGTTGAAAATAGGTTGCCAGGTAACATAATAGACGCTGGCTCGCTGGATTGTTTCAAGAGCAGGCCAGCCAAATATATGAGTGCCTTTGGTTAGATATAAATATAAGCGGCCTCGCATGGGCCAGTAAGCCTTCTCCAGTTTCCTCTACTCTTATGTTCACATTTGTTTATGTTTTAGATTAAACAATTCTTCCAGATACTACATGCAACGTATGTCAGACCGCTCCTACTTGATGCAGTCCACCCTTGCGACACACAAGACGAAAGTTGGAAAGTTATCCATAGAGAAATATAAGAGATAAGAGACATGGGCTGTGAAGCCAGGCTCAGAGAACTCTAAGTACATAACAACAGGAGATGACGAGGAGAAATGATCGCTACGTACATGGTACCGAGGGCAGTAGACAGAGTGGGTACAGACAGGCTTCTTCACCTCATCAATACACACACGCAAACAAAGGCACAGGTAGAAACTGGTAACAAACTTTAGTATTTGCCTAAGACAAATGTCGTATTCAGAGAGAGTGGTTATTGAAGGGGATATAAACTCCGGTCAGAGGTGGGGGAGATAGATCTCTGCCCAGTTAGTCACAGGTAAGCAAACACACACACACACACACACACACACACACACACACACACACACACACACACACACACACACACACACAGTCTGTGTCCAAAGTCTGAGGAAAGAGCCAGAGCTCAACCCCCGCAAGCACAATTAGGTGAATACACACACACACACACACCACCCCCCACACCCCCCCCACCACACACACACACACTCACACCCCCCCCCCCACACCCCCCCCCCCCCCACACACACACACACTCACACACACTCCCCCCCCCACACACACACACTCACACACACCCCCCCCCCCCCCCACACACACACACACACACACTCACACACATCGTAGGGGGCATCGTAGCCTGGTGGATAGCGCGCAGGATTCGTAATTCTGTGGCGCGGGTTCGATTCCCGCACGAGGCAGAAACAAATGGGCAAAGTTTCTTTCACCCTGAATGCCCCTGTTACCTAGCAGTAAATAGGTACCTGGGAGTTAGTCAGCTGTCACGGGCTGCTTCCTGGGGTGTGTGTGTGTGGTGTGGGGAAAAAAAAAGTAGTTAGTAAACAGTTGATTGACAGTTGAGAGGCGGGCCGAAAGAGCAAAGCTCAACCCCCGTAAAACACAACTAGTAAACACACCCCCCCCCCACACACACACACTCACCCCCCCCCCCCACACACACACCCCCCCCCCCCCCCACACACACACACACCCCCCCCCACACACACACACCCACACACCCCCCCCCCACACACACACACGCGCGTGACCTTGAGAGACACAATGCTTACCACACACTAGTCACGCCTCTCTGACTATACTCTTGAAGGTCTCCTCAACTCCCCATTCTCTCCCCTCATAGTGTACATGTCACACACTTCATAACCTTCTTCAATGTCAGGTGTCCTAGTCTTGTTCAGAACTGTTCATTGCTTTAGTGATGGGCTTAAGACCTTAAAACATATCGTGAATAGAGTAATTACACCAAACTTGCGACAAGCAAGACTGAACCTGAAACTCAGAATATTCCTGTTTTTTCCCTTTGATCGCCAAATTCGATAGATGAAGATAATGCTAATGACTCTTCACTAGATAGATGAGTTGCTAATGACTCTTCGGTGAATAGATGACTTGCTAATGACTCTTCACTAGATAGATGACTTGCTAATGACTCTTCACTAGATAGATGACTTGCTAATGACTCTTCACTAGATAGATGACTTGCTAATGACTCTTCACTAGATAGATGACTTGCTAATGACTCTTCACTAGATAGATGACTTGCTAATGACTCTTCACTAGATAGATGACTTGCTAATGACTCTACATTCCTGTGAAATAACAGAGAGGAACTCCTTGGCCTGGCACTGGCAGATAGGCAACAGAGCCCTCTGAGGGCAACATTAAGAATCTATGACAAGAAAGCAGTGAAAACGGTGTTTTATCGTGTGGGAATTTTCCCAGTATCGAGGAAGAGAATCATTCACTCAGGACATATTTCATCTGGTCCTCTTGATTTGCCTGAAGTGAAAGCTTCCCGTGACTAACTTCCTGGGGGGAAAAAGTGTAATCATTTGTTTCCTTCCAGTTTCTACTTTTTTTTTATTGGCTGTGAGATAAGGGTAATATATTATCAATATACAAAATTCCAAACTACGTAGCGTCGCCATTTGACCAGAGATCGTATTGGGGTCCACCCTCTGGGCCAGCCTCTGGGCCAGCCTCTGGGCCAGCCTCTGGGCCAGCCTCTGGGCCAGCCTCTGGGCCAGCCTCTGGGCCAGCCTCTGGGCCAGCCTCTGGTCCACCCTCTGGGCCAGCCTCTGGGCCAGCCTCTGGTCCAGCCTCTGGGCCAGCCTCTGGGCCAGCCTCTGGTCCACCCTCTGGGCCAGCCTCTGGGCCAGCCTCTGGTCCACCCTCTGGTTCACCTCCCGGTCCACTGTCCGGTCCACCTCAAGGTCCACCGTCTGGTCCACTTTCTGGTCCACCTTCCGGTCCACCGTCCGGTCCACTTTCTGGACTTTTACCAATGATAATATTAATTCCGTAACTTTGCTCAAATTTCCATCGACAAATTTTACCATTGTATATTCCAGTCGTCTTATTTGTAACAATATTTATATTTAAAATATACTCGAATCTTTCTGATAATAAGTCCTTTATGTGATATATATGAATTAGTTTTTATATGAATTTTTTTTATATGAATTAGTTTCTTAAATTTTCTATGAATTAGTTTCTTAACATTTTTATTTGTGTCACCAGGAAATAAAATATTAATATATTCAAGGTATATTCAGTACTCTAAAGCGCTGTTATACTCTTTGGCAAACAGCGTGAATTTCTAGTTATCCTAAAGTAGTTTGATCCACAAGGAAGAAGAATTACACACCTCACTACCACATCACTGATTTAACACCATTACTGACACAAGTGATTTGCATTTCGTCTCATTTAATCTCCATTTTTAAGACGTAAGCTGATCCTCTTCAGGGTAAGTGGTTCCTGCGGTTCACGAAGCAAAGTGAGCGGGTCCTCAGTTCTCAGCGATGCCAGGGGTCAGGAATGTTAAATATACTTAGTGGCTAACTGTCACCGTTCACCATCAGGATGATGATGGTGAACTATGCATGGAAATCAGTAGTCTACTCTTCAATTATACGATGAATTATTTTTATGGGTCTGTTCTGATTACCTCGAGGGAAGGAGGCGTGATATCACAATATATCACATACTGATATACTGATGTTACACACAGACTTCATACTTCTGCTACGAGCACTGACTTCATTCCGGAACTACCTGAGTTGACTTCATTCATCTTTTGATACACCGATGTTTTTTTTTTTTAATTATATAAGAACAGCTCTTGTAAAGTGTTCAAGTCTATCGTTAGTTCATCGTTAGTTCTATATAACAGATGTGAACAAATCTTTGTAGTATAGAGAACATGTCAAAAACTATATTTTCCTAATTCCTGTCCCAAATATATAATGCTCGCATATAAGTGATAGTCACGTCGAGTTAAGACACTCATTTGAGGACCTTTCCAGTGATATAATCATAGGAGTTCAGCCTTCAAATGTACCTACCAAATAAAATCATTTTCATTTAAATAATCACTGTAAACCATCTAACAATTATAATATTCTTTATTCAAAATATTAATTCTAAAATGTCTACCACATATAACTATTATATTGAAACATTTATCCTAAAATATCTATCAACAAATATTAAAATTTATGGTTGAAATAATTAAATTACAATAAATTTGCACCCCCCCGTTTTTTACAGTCTCTAAAGAAAACGGCAAAACTGCTAATGTTTTGCTTCAAAAGTTTTAAACGCTCTTTGAAGCAAATCATTACAAAGAACCTTTGTGTCAATGAACTAGTTAGATGTAATTCACTGTACTTTAGACTACGAGGTCTTAACAAATGACAGTCCCTTAACCTCATCATTCAGCTGTTAAACCCTCGTTAGACGGAAAATAAATATTTTTATTTAATTTCGGGATATGAATAAAGTATCTTTTATTTTTTTTGCCAAAAGCAACGACTTCCCCATAGGTCTACTCTGGTCGGTCAGTTGATAGATGTTATACTCGCCTAGTTGTGCTTGCGGGGGTTGAGCTCTGGCTCTTTGGTCCCGCCTCTCAACTGTCAATCAACTGGTGTACAGATTCCTGAGCCTACTGGGCTCTATCATATCTACACTTGAAACTGTGTATGGAGTCAGCCTCCACCACATCACCGCCATCGACGTGGTCCTTCTCAGACGCTCAGGTGATTGTAAACTGCAAAGCGGCCAAGGTGAGGCATCATACCAGACCAGGGTGTGGCTTCCGGTCACACGCATGGCTGGGATTGGCTGATTGTGGCTCGTTTGATGGCTGGGACTGGTTGATTGTGGCTCGTTTGATGGCTGGGACTGGCTGATTGTGGCTTGTTTGAGGGCTAGGACTGGCTGATTGTGGCTCGTTCGATGGCTGGGACTGGCTGATTGTGGCTTGCTTGATGGCTGGGATTGGCTGATTGTGGCTTGTTTGATGGCTGGGACTGGCTGATTGTGGCTTGTTTGAAGGCTGGGACTTGCTGATTGTGGCTCGTTTGATGGCTGGGACTGGCTGATTGTGGCTCGTTTGATGGCTGGGATTGGCTGATTGTGGCTTGTTTGATGGCTGGGACTGGCTGATTGTGGCTCGTTCGATGGCTGGGACTGGCTGATTGTGGCTCGTTTGATGGCTGGGACTGGCTGATTGTGGCTCGTTTGATGGCTGGGATTGGCTGATTGTGGCTTGTTTGATGGCTGGGACTGGCTGATTGTGGCTTGTTTGATGGCTGGGACTGGCTGATTGTGGCTCGTTTGATGGCTGGGACTGGCTGATTGTGGCTCGTTTGATGGCTGGGATTGGCTGATTGTGGCTTATTTGATGGCTGGGACTGACTCATTGTGGCTTGCTTGATGGCTGATTGTGGCTGGGACTGCTGTATAGGTTCTCGAGCCTTTTTGGCTCTGTCATAGGGTTGTAAACCCGTGGAACCGCCTACCCGCCGAAGCCGTAAACGCCAAAACTCTGCTGGGATTTACAATACAGCTGGAAAAGATCATCAGGGCAAATGGAGGGAGCTTTGACAAGCCCCCGGCTTCCTGTCCTCATCGCGGCCACCAGTAATAGCGGCCCTCGGGTAAATTCAGGTAAATAAGCAAGCTGTGTATGGAGTCCGCTTCCACCACTTCACTTCTTTGAGCACTGAATATACTGACAATGAAATGTTTTCGCAGTGTCTCTGTGGATCATTTTGAGTAGTTTCCCATTATCTGTGGATCATTTTGAGTAGTTTCCCATTCTCTGTGGATCATTTTGAGTACTTTTCCATTCTCTGTGGATCATTTTTAGTTTCCCATTCTCTGTGGATCATTTTGAGTAGTTTCCCATTCTCGGTGGATCATTTTTAGTTTCCCATTCTCTGTGGATCATTTTGAGTAGTTTCCCATTCTCTGTGGATCATTTTGAGTAGTTTCCCATTATCTGTGGATCATTCTATGTAGTTTCCCGTTCTCTGTGGGTTGTTTTGAGTAGTTTCCCATTCTCTGGATCATTTTGAGTAGTTACCCACTCTGTGTCCCCAGCCCAAAAAAAAAAATGTCGTTTTCTCCATTGTATTCTTATGAGATATTTGCATGAGGTGAATTTGTCTCACCTGTTAATGATGAGAAAGGTAATTAGCACGTCAGATATGAACAGCTAGATCTCATCCTCCCTGTGGTCACTTATAGGTTAGTACTGATAGGTGAACACTATGTATTTATTCTTATTTCCAGATTATTTCTATGCCTTCTCTGTTTATTCTCTCTCATGTGCATCTCTCACTCAGTTTGTGTGTCAGTCTCACCCCATCTGACAAGCGGCATCCACCACCCCGTCCTCATAAGGTCTCCCAGCGTCAAGAAACGGTCGTACTAAAAAGCTCTCTCTCCTAACCTAC